TATGTTCCTGAGAAAGGGAGTGAAGAATAAGGAAAGAAATAGACAAGAGACAGAAGATAGAGTTGGGAGGGCTCCCATTGAATACTGTAAAAAGCCCCAAGTTTATTATTCATACCTCTTATATACCCCAATCAAAAGGGAGGGCACAAGACTTCTTTACCATGATGCAAAGAACAAACGTAATTACCTTCCCAGTAGCCAAAAATTTTGGTCACCACACACTAAATCAACCATCCTGTAATTTGGTCTTGAGGATCAAGACATCCATAGCTATACCTTAGGCCAAGAATCCTGTTGTTTAAATCTTGAATAGGTTTGAACTCTCTGTCCTTAAGTCAAGATGAAATGTAGTTAATAACAATGGACCCCAACACACACACACACACACACCTCTACTTCACATCCCCCAGCCCAGCATCTCCCAGTAAATTGTTGGTTTAGCAATTCAGTTGGTAGTCACAGGACAGGTTGCAGCCTCCAGAATCCTAGCCAAAGAAAATGGGAAGAAAAAAAAGGGGGGGCATGCCACCCCTCCCAATGCCCATGGAAAGGCAGTAAGCCTTCTCTCACCACAGAGTCTGGTTTATTCTTGACAGCTGAGAGTCAAGAACTCCAGTACGGTTAACACTGGCAGCAAAGAATGTCTACACAGAGACCATATTTCCTTTATACAGAGATGTTAGAATGATGATAAAAAAAAAAAAAAAAAAAAAGCCCTGTGTCATGCTTAGACCTTGACATATATGACTTTTCCCAACTGTAAATCTACAATTTTCTAAGATCCTCACAAGAAACACATCTATATTAATGGACAAGCCTTTGGCTCCTTGTTCAAACCTTATATCCCATACTTTTACCTTGTCAAATGGAAATCCTATCTAAGATACCACAGGGGCCACCTATAACTTCATTTATCAAAGAGAGAGAGAGAGAGAGAAAAGGAGAGAAAAAACAAATTTCTTAGCAACTCTTGAGATGTAACTTGAGAGCCACTAAAATCATTTTATGTGGCTACTGGTAACACGTGTAAATGTAAATCTCTCTTGAGATCCCCACATTCACATTTGGGTGTGTCTTTTCCTTTCCCTGGGTGCCTCTCTTTCTATTATCCCCTGCACTTAACTCTATACTAAAGGCTCAGCCGTAAAAGGCACTCACCACTAAGGCTGACAACTTAGTTCAGTCCCTGGGACCCATATGAAGGAGAGAACTAATTCCTGAAAGTTGTCCTCTAACCTCTATATGCATATGCTCCTACAGCCATCTGGCCCACCCATCAATCAACCAATCAGTCAATCAAAGCCACACCCATCAATCAATCAATCAAAATAAAAGAAATGTAATAAACAAAAATTTAAATCTACGTTAAAAATCTCTTCCTAAGAAACTCCATTCTCCTTCAAGTTGGTTCATTCCTTTCTGTCATGAAACCAAGAATCCCATCTTTATTTGAGTATCTGAAAAATACTGTATCTCCAGTCTGGGCCCCACTGACAAACCCTAGTTGGGCAGGTGGTGGACCTTGGGCAACAGGCGGTCAGTCTCCCAGCACCCACCCCAAACTTGGCTCCCAACTCTGAGTTCTCAGATACAGTAAACTCTTGACATCTGAAGCCAAAAGGAAGTTCCCCTGGATTTCTAAGAACGAAGCTGGGACATAGAGCATGTTCATGATGCATTAATAAGCAGACACTCCCAGGAGGGAACAGTTGTTTCATTGTGAGTCTTATGCACACATTCCCAGAAATGCATCTTTAATGTACTCAGCTGGTGTTCACATACTTAACTGACTTGATAATTGATTTTTAAGCTTGCTCACTTTCCAGAGAAATTAAGAAGGGTGCTTGGAAAAGTCTGAGTCCTCCCTGTCCCCGTTTTTCTACAAACAAGCCTTTTATCAACCCCACTGTTGCCAGAGAAGTAGAACACACATGCTATGTGCCTTCACTGCATGTGGAGGCAGAGCTTCACCCTGCCAAGATCTCTAAGCCTCAGGACAAACAAACAAGCAAACAAACAAACAAAAGCCTGACAGCATTTTGCAGATAAGGACAGAAAGGAAAGAGATAGTAATAATTGTTTATGAAGTTTTAGGTTACAACTCTCTCTTGAAAGTTGACCACAACATTAGCTGACCCATTTCTCCCTCCCCTAGGTTACTTGCGATTGGTAAATAGGAACATTATTTCAGAATCGTATTGTCAAAATGCCATAAGGATACCTAGTGTGTGTTAATTGTGTAAATGAGCCATGAAGGACAGTGGCAAACCAGTTAAGAGCACAGAACTTGCTTGGCACTTGCTCAGTCTAGTCCTTCCTCATGGTTCAGTTTAACTGCAGTTGGCTGCTTCTTCATCACCTGATGATTCTGAACAAGAGTAAGACAAAACAAACAAACAAACAAACAAACAAACAAACAAACCTACAGAAGCCATATAACTGTGCTCAGCATCAGGAGGCCTTGAGTTCAATCTCCAACATACTAGCAGCCTTGAAAGGTGGAAGCAGGAGGATCGCTCCAAGATTATACTCAGCTGTATAATGTGCTTGGTCCAGCTTGGGTTATAAGATCCAGCCCTCCCATCTCCATTAAAAAAAAAAAAAAAAAAGGTCATATTTGTTTGCTTCTAGGAGAAGTTGCAGAAGTGACTTTTGAGGGAGGAAGAGGAATTAATCATGCAGGCAAGAAGTGGCAGGCTGCTCTGGAAGAGTGAAGATAAGCACTGTTATCTGGGGTGGGGTTTGAGTAGCCACTCCAATTCCAAGTCCTGCTTTCTGGGGGACAGCAGGAAGAGTGTTGAAAAAAGAGAAAGGCTGATGCTTTTCTGTAGGCTTACCAGCAGCACACGAATCTACTGATATCTTAATTATTGCCTGTTACCCCTCAGTCAGCATCCCTCTGGCCACTTAGGCGGCCACTTGGAGGAGCTTCCAGGCCCACAGCCCGGGCTCTGCCACAACCTCCGTATGTAGGTTTAAATTAATTCTCTACAGTTCTGTTTATCAATAAGACTCAGAAGTCAAAGGCTGGGTTGACAATCTGCCTAGCTCAGAGAGGCTGAGCAGCCACCAGCTGACCTTGCCTTTTGCCCAGAGACACATCTGTTCACTTGTTCCAGAACCAAGAGAGCTCAGACTCTAGTCCCCACCCTTTCCTTCCTGTGTCTTTTCTATCCACATTGCTGGGCTTCTCTATGACCAATTCTGGTCAGCTAGTCACTGGATCCACCCCCCTGATTCAAGGTATAACTTTATTGGGCAGTCTCAGGAGTATCAGAGTTCTATCAAAATATCCCACAACAAAAGACCTTTCCTTTTCTCCAACCTTTTGACACTGAGATATCTTTATCATCTACACAGCTCACACTGGAAGGAAAAAACACACAAAATAATCTCATATCAATTTGTGTTGGGCCACCACTGCCTGGCAGTAATATTTTTTTAAAGATTTATTTTTATTGTTTTTAATTGTGTGTGCATGTGTATGCCCAAGTGTGGGTTTGTGCACAGGAGTACAGATGCTCAAGGGGTCCAAAGAGGATATTGGAGCTCTGGGAGCTAGAGTTACAGATGGTCATGGGCCACTCAACACAGGTCCTTACAGAAGCAGTTCATGTTAACTGCTGAAACATCTATCCAGCCCAACAGATAATATCTTTATCCTCCAATCTGCTAAGCCAGCATGCAACATTTAAATGTGTTGTATAAATCATTTTAAAACACAACTGATGAGGCAAGAATTCAGATAACATACATATCCTATATATACATGTCCTATAGATATGAACAAGATGACTGTGTCATTTCTGATTGACAATCAGACATACAGGGATTGTTGACTTCTAAGTCCTCTTGCCAGTTCCTAACATGCAGAGAATTTTAAGCAAAAAGTAGTGTAACTTGATTTGTCCTTGGGAACAACCCACATCCTGGCAGTCCAGTAGGCCAACTGGGGTAGCTAGCCTTGAACTTAATCATAATAATTAAAAGAAAAATAAAACTGAGAAGGAATTTTGTTAAAAAACATAAAGCAGTTATTTTAAAAATTGTTTTTAATTTATTTTTAATTTATGTATATGCCCATATGTCAGTCATGTGTGTGGGGGTATCCCAAGAGGCCCCGGGAACTTTAGTCACAGTTGTATCAGGTAGGTGCTGGGAACTGAACCTGGGCCCTCTGCAAGAGCAGCCAGTGTTATTAACTGCTGAGACATCTCCCGACTCCAAGTATAATACATTTATTAACTTTAATTTTTAAAATACCCACACAGACCAATAAGAATCACGAAGCCCTGTCCAGAGAAGACAGCAATTGGACTGGACAACGAGAAATGACCAGCCTTTGCTATCATAGAAAGGCTTGATAATAATAGTAATAACAATCTAATAAATCTCACATTTCCATAGGCTCTAGTCCATCCTGTATCCTGGGAATCTGAGTCACAAAATACTTGTCCTTCGAGCCGGATTCGAACCAGCGACCTAAGGATGGCCAGAATGAACTATCTACAGTCCTCCGCTCTACCAACTGAGCTATCGAAGGATAGCATATGCAAGTTCTAATAACGTTTCAAATACCTTAGGTGGCTCGAAATCTGCATTTGTGAATAGTTTTAAACTTTTGATCTTTCTGCTTCCACTTGGGATCAGTATGAGCCATCTTGCCTGATTTTAAACTCAGGTCTTCGTGCATGCTAAGTAGGCACTCTACCACATGCCAAGAGCATTATTTATAATAGAAAAAAAAAAAAACACCAAACATCCCACAATCTTGGCAGTTAAATACTTTTTTAAGCAATGCTTTGAATCATTCAGGAAAACTTACTGATCATCTCTATGATGTACACGAATATAAAATAAGTAACAGAACAATAAATGTCAGCTGTGATTAATTGATGTATTCATGGTCAGTTTGCTTATAAAATTGTTTTCCTTCATTTTCCCATTTTTTTTCCTGTAATAAATGGAAATTCAAAACAAAATAAGGAATTGCTGATGTCATGCGTAACTTTGGCAGGGGGAAGCTGTGCAGTTGTACCACTTTGAAGGTGGGTATCCAGTGGAGTGCTGCCACCGGCACAGCAACTCCTGAGAATGTCTGGAATAAAAAAAAAATCAACGATAGAGCTTTGGAGTCATTGTGGCCTCAACCCTGTAATTATTCACAAATGTAATGCCAAAGCAATGTACTTTAGGGGCTCCTATTCTTTTATCTGCTTTGCTTCAATTACTCTTCCAAATGCGTCCTTACTCAGTATAATTCAAACAAGGTATTACTAGTACTAGTCTTTTTCTACAAACAAACAACGACAACAAAACCCCACAACCATAAAAGACACAAAAAACTCAATTCTCTTCTGTTTTGTTCAAACAGCTCTTGCAAGCCTCCATCTTTCTATGTAGCCCAGGCTGGCCTGAAACTTACAATGATCCTCCTGCCTCCTGAGTCCTGAACTTACTTGGGCGAGTTACCACACTGGGATTAATGTCATTTTCAATGTAAAATGAACTGAAGATACAGAGGTAAATTTACTGGCAGATGACCTCATGTCTCATTTTAGTTACTCGGGATTTCTGTCTTTTTGTCCCTAGTTCCTATAACAGTCCAGCTCTTCAATTGCATATACTGTTTTCTTAGAGATGAATCCGAATCACCAGACCACCAATCAATCCATAGTTCAGCTCTTTGGAGAACTTTTTTTTTTTTCCTTAGCAAATACACTTGGCCACCTAGGGGCAGGCTTCCTTAACAGCACACAACCTCCTTCTGCTGGCTCTAACTTAGGCCCTGGGGCCATAAGCGACTTTTTCCCTTGGTCACTCTAGTTCGTGCTCCTTTTTTCCTCCGTGGCCATCGAAGGCGGTAGGTGCTTTGCTCTCAGCTCAGCGAGGCACAGAATAACATTGCTCTTTGTCCATGTTCTTTGTGCTAGACATTCTGTTCCTCAAGCTCTTAAGGTCTGCCACTCTCTTCTCTCTAGACCAGGTAGGACTGCATGTAGCTCACTATGGAACTCAGAGATCCTAGGGTGCTGGGCTTACGGATGTGAAACACCACTTGCCATTTTTAACTCTCTCCTCTATTTCATGTTATCAATCTCTACCCCCATGTCGTTATCTGTATTAAGATAGCTCAATTCTACTCAATACGATTTTATTTCATTTCTTCTTTTTCTCCTCTTCCTCCTCCTTATTCTTGTAAATGCAGAGATTCCAACATTTCTTTATTTATCTGCTGCTGTGCTTCAGAGCTCCCTTCTGGGGACCACTGACGGCTGTAGGATGGGTTTGCTGTTTTCGTGCACGCCTGACCAGACTTAGAGAAGGGTGTGCATGGGCTGACACCATGCCGGGGAGATACAGAGCCCTCCAGGTTGGAAAGAACTGGTGGAGAGTATGGCGCTTGCCGAGCCAATAGTTACCCCCTGACCATTTAACTCCCAGCCTGAAGCTCCTGGTGACTCCGGCAGCAGCCCGTTGCCCCAGAAAGGTTGGAGATGGCAGTTTCCCCCAACCCCTGCCTCTTGGCTTGTCTCCTTACCCTCCTGGTCCTGCAGCTGCCCAGGCTGGATTCAGGTATGTCTCTGTTCTAGCCATCTCTTTCTTGCAAGGTTGGAAGGTACTTAAAATGTCAGGGAGCCAGTTTGTCTTCAAGTGGGGACCTCCACCAGACTTGAGCGGATCAAAGTAAATGCACCCGGGTGGTAGTGCGTGCCTGCAGTCCCCCAGCACTAAGAAGACAGAAATAGATCTTTCTGGATTCAAAAACAGTCTGGTCTGCATAAGGAGAGCCAGGCCAGCTGGGGTTACATAGGGAGATCCTAGTATTTTTTTTCTTTAAACCAAAGGAATTGGAACTCTGGGTGTGGCGATCACCTGCAAAGCTAGTTGAGAGTTGAGGGCAAGAGAATCAAGGCCGCACAGTGAGCTGCATGCAAGCCAGTTTGGGATTTGTGAGACACAGTCTGAAACGCTTGAGCTCTCTTAACCAGAAGCCTGTTCTGTAGTCCTCCATCTCATCCCATCGTCTCATCTGACCCTATTTGTTCTGGCAGCTCCCTTCGATGTAATCGCAGCTCAGGAGCCAGTGCTGGCCCTAGTGGGCTCAGATGTGGAGCTGACCTGTCTCTTCTCCACAAACGCGAGCGCGGAGCACGTGGAGGAGCTGCGGTGGTTTCGACAGACTAGGTCGCCAGCGGTGCTTCTTTATCAGGCTGGCCAGGAGCAGGAGGGCGAGCAGATGACCGAGTACCGCGGGAGGGTGACGTTAGTGACCGATGGGCTCCCGGATGGCCACGCTACTCTACGGATCCGAGGTGTCAGGATCTCGGACCAGGGGGAGTACCGGTGCTCTTTCAAAGATAATGGCAATTCCGAGGAGGCCGCTGCGCATCTCAAAGTGGCTGGTGGGTACACAGTGGGCTGCGTCGCCAAGTCACTTGGCGCCGACGGTCACTTGAACCACCGGGTTCATTCTCCAAATCACTTTGAGGCTGAAGAAGGGAGGCCGGCACAAAGTGGAAAATGAATGGGAAGAGTCTCAGCTAAGGGGGTGGGGAGGGGTGCAGAGCGAGACGGGGTTCCTGAGGATACCTCATTTTAATTATCTTCCGCACTTTCTCCTCTACATTTCCTCCTCCGAGAAATATGTAGCATTCTTAATTTAGTTTTTGAGACAATATCTGCTATATAGCTCTGGCAGTCCCCCCCCCCCCGCTTCTACTTTTACAGTGCTGGGATTACAGGTGTGCACCACCGCTTCTGGCTATTACATTCTTTTACAAAGTACACCATAATTCACTGGATCACTTCCCAGAACTGGTTTAAATTGTGCATGTGTTCAGGTTTATGTAAGGCTGTGGTGAGAGTCTCAGATGCTCTGAGCAGCTTCGTGTATTAGTGCCTAAGGATTGATTGACACCCTAGCCTTATAGAGTGCGGTGCATTTCTAATGTTCTTTATCCACCCCCCCAAAAGGTTTTGCTTTCACTCATATTCTCTCTCCTTCTTCTCCTCCCTTCTCTCCCTCCCTCCCCCGCTCCCGAGATGACAAGGAAATACCTGAGTTCCGACTCCCTTGCATGCTAGAGATCAGAGTCAAACAAACCGTCCACTCCATATTTCCAGTGAAACCAGTAAGCTATGTCCAAAAACGAAATAGCTTATTATTAATCACTTATTATCTAAGAAGTACAAAGTACTTTGTCAATGGTGGAAACATTATATACTTTCAAAGGAATTCTACTATGCCTTAGGTTGACATGTGTAATTACACATACATTGCCTTCCTTGACTTATTGTTTGTTCACTTATTTAAATTACTACCTTCGAGGGAAGCAGCTTAAGAACGCTTTAAAGGCCTTTTTAGTCAAGTGCCAGAATCATCCTGCTCAAAAGGGAAACATTCCCACACCGGGAGTCGAACCCGGGCCGCCTGGGTGAAAACCAGGAATCCTAACCGCTAGACCATGTGGGAGATGTTGTACTTGCTTTCTTCTTGTCTCCTCCTCCTAAGTACACGATTATGGACATGTGTATGTACACCATACTTTCTCTAGGTGCTGGAAAGCGAAAGTACTTTTACAAACTTAACTCTTTCCCCAACCCAAAAGTACGTTGCCATGGTTTGCCATATTTAATGCACCACATATAACTCTCATGCCATTTTAGGGAAGTGCATCTTAAAAATTGTTTACATATATAACCGTGTGTGTGTGTGTGTGTGTGTGTGTGTGTGTGTGTGTGTGTTTAAACTGGATGAAATAACAGCCTATGTAATTCTAGCAATTGCGAGGTGAAAACAGTAAGATTAGGACTTCAAATCCGTTACACAAAATCCAGTCTCAAATAAAGAAAATCCACCCAGATATTTGATGACATAAAACTATACTTAGCGGGTCATTGTTGGTGTCCGCCTTTAATCCTAGTTTTGGGAGGATCTCGGAGTTCGAGGCCAACCTGGTTTACAAAGAAAAATGAGTTCTAGGGCAGAGAGAAGCCCTGTCTGGAAAAACAAACAACAAATCACAAAACAAAACGAAGCCGGATGATGGAGGAGCAGGGAGGCAGAGGTAGGAGGATCTCTAGAGTTCAGGACCAGCCTGGTCTACAGAGTGAGTTCCAGAACATCTAGGGCTATGCAGAGAAACCCTGTCTCTAAAAATAACACACACAAAAAGTTGTGTTATTACCTTTTATGGGTGCTAACACTTTTAAGTGATGGCCATTTTCATTAAACGAATTTACATTTTCATACACACTGGTTTGGAATATGGATAGTTGTAGAGGTGGTGATTAATGAGGATTCTCTGCAGGAGAGAGGGGAGCAGGAGACAGGGATAAAGGGGAAGAGGGGGGAAGGAAAAAAATTAGACTAAACAGATGGGGAAAGTAGCTTTATGTCTACTTTGTTGTTGCTGAATTTTTCTTGTTGTTTTGTGACAGAATCTTACTATGTAGCTTTGGCATGCAGACCAGGCTGGCCTAGAACTCATAGAGATCCACCTGCTTCTTCCTCTTCAATACTGAGATTAAAAGGCCTGCGTCATCACACACACTGCTGCTTTTTGAGATATGGTCTTAAATTCATGTAGCAGAGGCTGGCTTTGAACTCGTGATCCTTCTCCCTTCACCTTCTGAGGGCTGGGATTATAATTGTGTGTCCCCAAACCTGGTCCTATGTTGATTTTTGTTAGGGCATAATTGTGTGAAGAAAGATGAGGTTGAAACTATTTAAGAAAATCCCTGAGTCAGCATCCTAGGTAAAAGAAAGTTAAATTATCAACTACAAACCTCAAAGGGGGGGGGGGACCTTCAAAGCCTGTTCTCAAAACTATAGTGTTTTGGAGGTGGGTGGTAGTAGCTCCCACCTTTAATCCCAGCACTCGGGAGACAGAGGCAGGTGGAACTCTGAGTTTGAGGCCAAAATGGTCTGTAGAGTGAGTTCCAGGACAGCCAAGGCTATACAGAGAAACCCTGTCTTGAATATGTATGTCTGTGTATGTATGTATGTATGTATATGTATGCATATACATATATACACATACATATATAGTGTTTGGGGGACTAGAGGTATGGTTGGTAGAGTTCTTGCTCAGCATGCACAAAGCCCTGGGTGGGATCTCCAGCACAGTATGAAAATTGTGGTGGCATCTGCTTGTAATACCAGCACTTGGGAGGCAAGAGCATCAGAAGTTCAAGGTTATCTTCAGCAGCATAATGAGTTTGAGGTCAGCCTGGGCTACATAAGACTGTCTAAAAAGGAGAATACTTTTATATCCAATCCTAAAATTTCTAAAAATAGCTGTCTCATTCCCTCAAATCATGAAATGTACTTCTAACTACAGAGCTCTTTCTTGACTCTGGAACTCCTAAACCACCTCTTAGCCATTGTACATGCTGCTCCTGATGGTTGGACAATTACCCTTTGTCTATCCATCAGACTTTTGCTCACACTCATGTGGAAGGGCTTGATCCCAATATTTTTATTTTCATTGATACTTGAAATTATTTTTATTGGTTCTTCAGTCTTTACACAGAAGGACTAGAGGAATCACATCTATTCCTTGTCCACTTTTGCCTCCTCTGTCTTTCTCAAACTAAGATTATCATGCTCCCAGGAAAGTACCCATTGAATGATGAAGGTTGGCTTCTTTCTCCATAGCTCTGGGCTCTGATCCTCACATCAGTATGGAAGTTAAAGAGAATGGACAGATCCAACTGGAATGCACCTCCTCAGGCTGGTTCCCAGAACCGAAAGTGCAGTGGAGAACTCCCTCGGGGGACAGACTTCCATTCACTGCAGAGTCCAGGAATGATGACGAGGAAGGCCTGTTCACTGTGGCAGCTTCAGTGATCATCACAGACAACTCCATAAAGAATGTGTCCTGTAGCATCCAGAATTTCCTCCTCGGCCAGGAGAAGGAAGTAGAGATCTCTATACCAGGTCAGTGGAACGAATATTGGACTGCCATGTTGACAAGAGACTCGGGACAATATGACCTGGGGTCCTGCTCAGAAGGGACTTCAAGGCAGAGCTGTCTGCATCTTCCCTCATAGCTCTTGCCTGTTGACCTGAGGAGAGCCCTCTCAACTTCATTAGAATAACAATACCGAAGGTTTGAACTATATCTCAGTGAGGGAGAGCTTGTAGCATCCGTGAGGTACTAGGTTCTGGAACTGCATACAACCCCATCCCATGCCAATCTCATAACAATTCCAGAGCTTAATTTTAGGATAAATGGGTGAGTCAGAGAAACTTTTTCCCTGGGGGCCTTCTTGACTGGACCTGTCTTCTTCAGTAGAGACTAAATTACTTCTCTGATTTGACTGTGGCCTCCGTGAACCTCACCTCTCTTCCTCATCCCACACCCGAGAGCCATATAAGCTGCCAAGTTCCTTCAGGAAGCAAGCTCTCTCATCGTTCCCTAGTTATTACCTCTGGTTTAGCAGGAATCATTCCTTGTTTATTGGCCAACAAGTCTTATTCTGTCATGCATGTGGTCATTCTTCCTTTACCTCCACCACCTCAGCAGTAGTTAACAAGGGGTTTCTGTAACACCAAGGGGCCCATTAGATTTGTATTTCATGTGTTCTGGCCTAGATGACTCTTGAATACTTGCTTTTGCCAGAATCAAATCTTTTGGAAGAACTTAGCATGAAGGAGCAATTCTTGCTGTGGGAGGTGGAAGGCTTCCCGATCTCTATCCTCCTTTGATACCAGGGGAGAAACTGAAATTCATAAGTTTCCCAAACAATGTCCTTCTTGTTATATTTTTTTTTTTGTTTTGTTTGTTGTTTTTTGTTTAGCTCCCTTTATGCCAAGGCTAATTCCTTGGATAGTAGCTGTGGCTATCATCATATTGGCCTTAGGATTTCTCACCATTGGGTCCATATTTTTCACTTGGAGACTATACAAGGAAAGATCCAGAGGGCAGAAGAGTGAGTTTGGCTCAAAAGGTAAGTCACAGTACCCACAAGGGTTTCTTGTCACAGCTTCCAGGGGAGGTGGGATTCGGGCCTGTTCAGATGACTTCCAACAGGAAAATGTTGGACTTTAGAATTCTGAAGTTGGAAGGAGTTATAAGCCTTCTAAAATACAGGTACCTATCATGAAGGAAATTTGAGTGACGTAGGCAGAGTCAAAATCACCTGTCATTGTTATTTTCTACCTTATGTCCTCTCACAACCTGGCTGCAGGCCCTCTGGCCAATTCTAACCCTGTTTCCCAGGAAGAATCTTATGATTGAGATCTAGTCCTAAACCAGGAGGAACTTCCAGGCTATCTCTTAGAAACATTCTGTTTTTGCTGGCAGCGTTTCTGTTCCTGGTTTGCTGGCAGTGTCTTTGTCACTGGGTCACCATGGATTAAATAGTGTTTTTATGTGTCTCTCATTCTTCCTCCTTCAGCTTGCCTATTTGGGGGGGGGCAACAAAAAACAAAAAACACTGAAATAAGTTTGTTTGTTTTCCAGAGAGACTTCTGGAGGAACTCAGTAAGTTATCTTCTAGTTTTGGACCCACAAGATTTTGTCCTTCCCATCTTTTAGGGCACCACTGACAATCTCACTTTTTTTTCACACTGCAGGGTGTAAAAAGACCGAATTGCATGAAGGTCAGTGGTTCTGAGCTCTTCCTTGCCTTTGAAACCCAACCTCCCGAGTCAAAGACCTGTGGGGCTTGAACACAAGAAACATAAATATCCTTTTTAGTGGCAGGATAGGAAAGGGAGAAGGTGACAGTTGCAGAGTAAATTCCAGGACAGATAAGAGACACACAGAGAAACCCTGTCTCAAAAAATAGAAAAGAAACAGAATAATAAAAGAGTCAAGATGGAGAGTCTGGAGAAGGTAAAACCGCCAGCCGCCTCTCTCTGGTAAGACCACGTGGAAATAAATAGAAATGGGCTAATAATTAAGACAGAGCTAGCGGATAAGAAACAAGTAACCGGGCCAACAGCATTGTATCAAATACAGAGTCTCTGTGTATTATTTGGGGCTGGCATGGCAGTGGGACAAGACCAGGCAGCGGACGAAAAACCATACTCCTTACAGAGAGTGAATGGCCTCAGCACTTTCTGTGAGGCCTCCAACGGACCACAGAAGATGACTAACAGAAAACTCCTTTGACAATATCCCATTAGGTACTCAGCTGCCAGTGAGAGGTGGGTCTGGAGATGAGGACAGTGAGTGGCCAGACAGCTCTCCTACTACAGGCATTCATCAGCTCCTACAACTCTGCTCCATGTATTCAGGAAGGGGATAGGCCAAGTACCATCATACATTTGCTGATGCTCTTTCTCTCTCTTTGCCTCCAGTTAACGTGACTCTAGATCCAGACACAGCACACCCCCACCTCTTTCTGTATGAGGATTCAAAATCAGTGCGCCTGGAAGACTCGCGTCAGATCTTGCCTGATAGACCAGAGAGATTTGACTCCTGGCCCTGTGTGTTAGGCCGAGAGACCTTCACTTCAGGGAGACATTACTGGGAGGTGGAGGTGGGAGATAGAACTGACTGGGCCATTGGTGTGTGTAGGGAGAATGTGGCGAAGAAAGGATTTGACCCCATGACTCCTGATAATGGGTTCTGGGCTGTGGAGTTATATGGAAATGGGTACTGGGCCCTCACCCCACTCCGGACCCCTCTCCGGTTAGCAGCACCTCCTCGCCGGGTTGGGGTTTTTCTGGACTATGAATCAGGAGACATTTCCTTCTACAACATGAGTGATGGCACTCTTATCTACACTTTCCCTAGCGCCTCTTTCTCGGGCCCTCTCCGTCCCTTCTTTTGCCTGTGGTCCTGTGGTAAAAAGCCTCTGACCATCTGTCCAACTGCCAATGGACCTGAGAAAATCACCGTCATTGCTAATGTCCAGGACACCATTCCCTTGTCGCCACTGAGGGAAGGCTCTGCTTCTGGAGAAACAGATACTCTCCATTCTAAACTGATACCTTTCTCACCTAGCCCAGTGGTACCTTAATGAACATTCCAGCTCCATGAGTTTCCTTTCCTGTGACTACTCTCTCACACTCCGGAGCTTCAGTTGCTAGCTTCCTGCAGTCCAGTTTCTTTCTGGTCGTGGTGATTAATTCACCTTGGGAAGGTGGTATGCTGCTCCTAGAGAAAGCAGGGAGAGAGGCTTTCCTAATTTGTTTCTGTATCAATACTGGGGAGATTGAGAGGTGATTCCTAAACTATTTCTAATGCCCATATCCCTTCAGATCAGAGCCTACATAGAAAGACTCGGCACAATCCCTTAAGAGACCTAGAGACAACTAGGTTGTCATGAAATTGTGGTAGCAACATTTGGAATAGGGGATGTGGAACGACAGATTTAGTTCGGCAAGGGGAAAACCAAACCAAACCAGGAAGCTGGGAAAGGGAGATCTTAGGCTAAAAATCCCATAAAGAAATTTGGGAAAGACATGACAGAAGCAAACGAAGGAACTTGGTCCAACTAGGTACACTTGTCCTGTCCCTAGGGGTTTTCAGGACTATATCTCAAAATATTTTTATTAATTAAATTTTTAAAAACTTCATATCTGTATTATATAATGCACTCTAATTACTATCACACTTCTCTATTCTGTCTTATTTCCCTCCCCTCCTTTTATCAATACCTGCTGCTTGCTTCAAACGACACACTGAGTTTAACCAGAGCTATCCACACTGAGTTTAACCAGAGCTATCCAGGGAACACAGATTTGGAGCTGTCCACTGAAGTTTGGTGGGCTTAAGAGGACAGGTATAGCAGAATACAATGATTCCCCCCTCTTCCCACAATCTATCAGTATCTAATAATAAATAGTTCAGCTGGGACGGGTAGGGCCCCTAGCGTGGCTAACTGTTGCCAGAGCCAGTTTTGTGCAGTTCAGGAAACTACAGTGCCAAAAGGGAGCATTTCCCTGCCATTCTCACTATCCTCCGGCTCTTAAGCTTTTGTGTCCTCTCTTTCAGGATGTGTCTTGAACAGTGTATCTTAAATTTTCTAAATCATGATCTATGGGATAGAGGAGACTGGCCCTGCTTGTTTGGAAGTAGAACTGTGAGCAAGCCAGGCAGGGACAGAGAGGAGTGGGGAAGGGCAGGGCTAGAGACCCAGACAGGGTTATGCTAGAGGAGAAAACTTCAAACAAACTTGCCAGGTCATATACGAGTGCGTCAGGCCCCGCTCTTCTTTATGTGTCCTCTTTTTCCATCTCCTGAAAGTCAGTCCAACCTTACTTTATTGACTCCACTAGGGTGTGTGTGTGTGTGTGTGTGTGTGTGTGTGTGTGTGTGTGTGTAGACAGAGGTTTACTATGTAGCTCAGACTGATCTTGTTTTCCTGATCCTCTTGCCCTCACCTTCCAAGTGCTGGAATTACAGCCATGTCTACCATGCCTAGCAAATCCAACAGTTTTGTTTCAGCCTGCTGAGATAACATCGTTATTTTTTGTCTGTCTCAGCTGCGTGTTCCCTCAGCCTTCATTGCTGTCCAACCACTTCACAGGCACCTTCAGTTCCCTTCTACTGCCATTCTTTTCCACACTGTGCTGTTGCTTAGTGTAGCCTACTCAGTCTTCCTGAATTCTGTTTTGCGTTAGGATCCCCGGTGTTGCACCATGACGCTGCTCAACACAGCTGGGCAGTTTGTTTCCATTTGTGTCTGCTCCTGTGTCCTCCTATTGGTTTGGGATTTGTTTTGCCGATGGCCTGTGCGTGCATCCAAACGCTTCCATTTCTAATGTATTTCTAATGGGTTTTGTCAAACAAACAAACAAACAAACAAACAAACAAATAAAGTCTGATTGCTGAAGGCGGCCTCTGGACTTCCCTTTGTTTATCCCTGTAAGAAGGACTGGATTAAAGTGAAACAGGACTGAAAGCTGCCCGGGGACCACTGCCTGCTGATGTGTGTGACCCCAGGCCTGGGCCGGCAAGAGAGCTTCACCAGGACAGGGATAGCAGCTACTCACAGGGATCAGGTTGCATTCAAAAAGATCACAGCACTGAAAGCTCCCTGCTCTCAGCCTGGTTTCATTTCCATCCCAGTAAGGCACTTGTGTTGGTGAGTAACCCTCATGACTTCCTCAGAAGAACCAAGAGGGTACAGCTCCCAGCAATCTTTTGTTCCATATCTAGTACCACCCCCAATATATCACTGACAATTAAATCTCTGACACATGAAAATTGGGGGACACATTCAGACCATCACAGGCTTTTTCCTCTATCACCTCACAGCAACTTTCTTCTCTTTCTTTTCCTCCACCAGCCGTCCTCTGTAGCTTCTCTCTTACTGTACTCCTGGAAAGTATATTTTATCTTTGCTTTAAAAGAATGAATTTTAGTTGAGCACTGTGACACATATGTGTACTCCCAGAACTCAGAAGATAGAGGCAAGAGAATTGTCACATTTGAAGGCAGTCTGGACTACATAGTCAGTTCAGAGGTCAGCGTAGGCTATATAGCAACACACTATCTCAATCAATAAATACATAAATAAATGTGTCCATTTGTATTCAAATTTTACTTGTAAAAATTCACAGAAAACATAGTTTAATGCTTTGAAGAGGGGGCTGGAGAGAGGGCTCGGTGGTTGAGAGCACTCACTGCTCTTCCAGAGGACCTAGGTTCAATTCCCAGCATCCATGTGGCAGCTGGAAACTGTTTTTAACTCCAGTTCCAGGGGATCTGACACTTTCACATCAATACACATAAAATAAATTTAAATAAACTATTTTAAAAAGTGCATTGGAGGGCTGGTGAGATGATTTACCAGATAAAGACACTTGCTTGCCAAAACATCCCAGGGACCCACCTGGTGGGATGGATTGTCCTCTGATACCCACTTTGTATAAGAACACATTCACCCATATACATACACAGTACACTATACATATGAATAAATGTAGTTTAAAATGTTAAAAGCCTAGGAAAGGTAGACAATTACATTACTGTGTTTAATGTAGGATGTATATTCTAATATGTATTTGTAAAATCTCACACTGAATAAATCTCACACCAAATATATGAAACTGTATCTCTAAGATTAGAAAGAAAAGGGGTCTCGGAATTGGGCCCGGTGGAACACACTTGCAATATCAGCACTCTGGAGACTGAGTTGGGAGGGCCACAAATTCAGTGACAACTTGACCTACATAATAAGTTTTAAGGCCCTATCAAAAGGAGGTGGGTGAAGAAAAGATCTCTCAGATCCCAATCAGCTCTGCCTCTACTTCCCTTTGTATTCAAGGAAAGTGGTCTGAGGGTGTACTAAACAGTCTTAGGGGACTTTGTGTGCTGACTCAGGGTGCTGCAGTTTTAGTCTCTTAGCCTCTTTACATCACACCATGACTGAGTGATGAAGAGGGTTAGTCACCAACAAAGTCACCTTATTTTTACAGTAACAGCAGCCTTTAAAAAGAACCAAACTAAATTGGAAGTGGTAGTGTACATCTATACTTCCAGCACTTGGGAGGTAGAGGCAGGAAGATCAAGAGTTCAACAACATCCTCAGCTACTCGTGTAGTTTAAATCCAGCCTGAGCTTATGAGACCTTGCCTCAGAACAAAACACAAGCATAATTTGGATCAGAGTCTGGTTCCATACTGTCTTGAACGTTGTTAGGAATGTGGCTATACCCTCATCCTTAAAATAAAGATTCAGGCTTTCACTAAAACTTAACCCTGAAAAACCATGCTCTCAAATCTGAATGCTTTAGTTCTTCAGGTAATGAGGGTCCCTTAAAAACTCAGTCACACGCCAGGGTGACATCGAGCGTTCCTGTCAATAATAATAATTTTAAAATGCTGTCATTAGGTGACACTCCCAGACAAAACATTCTGATTTAATTGGTCAGGAGAACATTGTTATCCTAGAGGGTTACCAAAAGCATTACCTATGAGCTTTCCCTACTTTCTGTTACTATTGGGGGAGTCTCTCTAAGAATTACAGAAATACTATTTTTTATTTAAGCCATGGCTCTCACAATCGTGTGGAGGGCTTGTAAAACCCACAATATAGCGCATTTATCACCTCAACTTGTCTAAAATTCACAGGTCAGGGTTATATATATTTATGGTGTACAAAAATGTTCTGATATATGGAACGTTGTGGAAAAGCTGAATGAAGTTACAAACCTGTTTGTTACCTCACATACTTCTGTTGTGAGAACCTTTAAAATCTTTCAGCAACTGTCAAGTATGTGACACATTGTTATTAATCGTATTCTTGTTTTTAAACAGCAAGATTTCTGATTTAGTAGGTCTGGGTGCGGCTGAACACCGGCATATACTTGGATATCTGGAGCTGGACATTTTACTCAAAGTGTAAGTGATTAAGCAGTGGTTTGTCAATGACATTTAAACACTAGAAGCTGTCCAAAAATAAGGGGGGGGGGGAAGGAATAGAGAAAAAGCAGTTTCTGAACTAGACACGATAATTCAAGCCTGTAGTTCCAGCGCTCCAGAAGCTGAGGCCGGATTGGACTACAGAAGACTCTTAAATCTCAAAAACTAAAACCAGGGGTGGTGGTAGAGTTGGGTGGCGCAGTTTCCAAAGGCGCCAGGGCCAGAACGGCCTTTCAGCTTCTAGGGATCCCATCCAGGCTGACAGTACAGACATAGGTCGTCCCTGGCCTTGATCTGCGTTTGGAAAATCCGCTATTGTCGAGGATCGCTATAAAGTGTATTAGTAGGTTTAGAAGAGGAAAGATTGCTGGTTTTCGGTTTTGTTTTGTCTCTCAGCCCCTGAGGACCCGCAGCAGACCACGCTGCAGACAGCCCAGCGGTTGATTGTTGTCGCAGTTTATCTAACTACAACAAATACTACACTTCATAACTGAAACATTTTCAAACCTGCAGTGAAGGAGAGCAGAACGTGACAAATGGCAATTTGGAAAAGATAGAAACAAAAGCTGGCACCCTCCGTCTCCAGTGAGTCAGGATGGCCGAGCGGTCTAAGGCGCTGCGTTCAGGTCGCAGTCTCCCCTGGAGGCGTGGGTTCG